CAGGACAAGTATGAGGTAAGCCAGCCAGATTTCCATGGTAACCAGGCTTTAGGGAACTGCACCAGTGTTCATCTGTCATTTTATATCAATGAAAGGCACAATTGTTTTTAAATTATTATGACTACAATGCTCAAGACTTCACTTATTCCTAATACACTGTACAGGATTATTTTACCAACATGATACTGTAACCACTAAAGGTTAAGACAGCAGGAGCAGTTGCATCTAGATATAATGGTACCTTCTTGCATTTGAGTTTGATTGTTCAATAGTTCAGTTGTTTCAATATCTGATTATATTTATTAAAAACTGAACTATTTGTGAGAAGAAAGTGATCAAACAGACTGTAAACATTGAACATTTTTTTCTTTAATTTATATTTTTGAAGCATGTAAGGAACAAATTGGCCACATGGAAAAGTCAGCAAAACCAGCAATGTGGTAAACTGGAAGAAAAATACTTAAAATTCCAATCAACCTAAAACAGTAAATATAAAATTATTGTGTATTCAGCCAGATTTACAAGCAGGTGGCTCCTTGGACTGTGTATTTTTGTGTGAGTTGAGGAGTGCTTTGTTAAGGCAGTGCATCGCACCACAAAGCATTCACATCTGTGCATTGCAGTGCACTATAACACAGGTGCAATTTATGACCTCTATGAATAAGCCTTCGGGTGAAACATGTGAGAGGTTGTAGTTGGTTGGGGGTGTGCAGTGCTGACATTTGTTGCTTTATACACTTTTATTCACTGATATACTGGATTTGCTGTGAATTTTAATAAAGTCTGCAGTATTGGAATTCTCTGGATAGTGCGGTCTGTTCATATACTGCTACAGGTGCAGTTTAGTTACTGTATATGTGCGTTACAGTGCCATTTAGAATGCATGCCGCAATGTGCATATACCAGAGAATTTACGTGCATACTGGCAATGTGCTTAAAAAATGTGAGTGTGCCCTAACAGACAAAGGAAGTTGCATTATGTAGCAACCCTCAAAGTTTATGGCCGCTCTTAGTTATAGATGCAAATATATAGTTACTTTTTTTTGGTAGGGCAAGAATAAATGAACTAGATAGTCCAGCAATAGAATATCACATCACTGTGGAAAGTGGGAGAATGGGCAGGGAAGAGCAGTATTTAGTTGCCCATAGTGATGTATAAAAAGGACCAGGAGGATCCAGGAATAGCTCAGGTCAACTATAAAATGTGTGTCAGGTCATCTAGACCTGACATAAATTTTAGGTGGCATCTCTTTTGTGAACTACATAATTGCGCCATAAACCTCATTTATATATTATCCCAAAGGTTTACTTTTACAACTTTCAAAGCAAAAATATCTGTGTCAGTGTATTATTATTGTTGTTATTATACAGGAATTATAGTCCAACAGTTTGATGAGCGCTTTACAAAATAGAGGGAGACAATACAGTTACAATACGATTTCAGTACAGTAGGATTAGGTGGGCCCTGATCATGAGAGCTTACAATCTAGTAGGAGGGGTAAGTGATACAAAAGGAAATAATTGTGTGGGATGAGTTAATTGAAGATTTAAACGTACAGTTAATATGATGAGATGGGATAGGCTTCCCTGAAGAGAGGAGTTTTCAGGGATCGCCTAAAGGTGGAAAGAGTAGTAGATAAGCGGACAGATTGGGGCAGGGAGTTCCAGAGGATAGGAAACACTTGGGAGTAGTCCTGGAGGCGAGCAAGGGAGTGGGTGACGAGAGAGCTGGAGAGCAGGAAGTCTTGAGAGAACGGTTTGGTTGATATTTTGAGATGAGGTTGGTGATGTAGGTGGGGCAATGTTGTAGATGGCTTTATATGTTGTTGTTAGTATTTTGAGTTTTATTTGTTTGGCAAGTGGGAGCCACTGGAGTGTAAAAATGTATCATTATGGCTATTGAAAGACGTGAAAGACTTTGACCCAACTAACCCATCCTTACTTCTGCTACTTCTTACATGTCTAGAAATCCTTTGCCATGAATGCAAACTGACTCCTATAATCATAAAATGTTTGCAAAGTAACTTTGTAAAGTAACTTTGGGGTCTATTCACTAAGCTGTCCCGTACATCGGGAACATGCTCAGCATGTTCGGCCGACCCGAAGTGCAGAAGGAGTTCGACTCAGCCGATCCAACATCTGGATCGGCTAAGCAGAACCTCCGACAGGCTACTCGCTGCTGTTCGGTCTATTCTTATAGATGCCGAACAGCAGTGAGTGAATAGCCGAATGCCACTGGGCGGCATTCGGCTCAGCTGTTCTGATCGGTCTCTCTGTGGGACCGAGCAGAACAGAAAAAAAATTAAAAAAAGTAGAAAAATAAAAATAGAAAACAATTGTGTGGAGCTAGCAATCACAGCTAGCTCCGCCGACAGTTTTCTGCTCCGTGTCAGTGTTTCTCTCCTTGGCGGCCGGGAGCGGGAGACTCCCGGAGCGCCCGGAAGAGTTAGGCTGCCTGGAGATCAGTGTCCCTGGTTAGCTGGTAACCAGGGACGCTGATCTCTCTGCAAGTGGCCCAGCTGTCAGAAGCAGGCTGTCGGCCAGCCAACGGCCGGCCAGCTTCGGCTTTCACCTCAGCTCAGTCGAGCCGAAGCATATGCCTTCGGCTCGACTGAGCCGCCCGGCCGACTTCGGGAGCTGTACGGGCTATAACTTCGACTCTCCAGCTGTAATGAAACGTCAAATCCCACTAGGCAGTGCAAGACTGACAGCCACAGGCATGATGGGATTTAACTATTGCTGGTTAAGTTTGGCTTAACCAGCTAATTAAATTTGGATACCCCTGCTACAGAGGAAGATAATGCTCTAGACTAGTGATAGGCAGCCTTGACACTCCAGCTGTGGTAAAACTACAAATGCCATCATGTCTCTGACTCTGGGAGTCATGCTGTGAGAGTCTGCAGTGCCTCATGAGACTTGTAGTTCTACACCAGCTGGAGTGCTGAGATTGCCTACCACTGCTCTAGGACTCCCAGGTTATCATTTGCCATTCACATGGACTCTCCTCTCACAGATATTACTATAAACATTGAGAATCTGTATCCTGCCTCATACAATGATTTTACTATTTGTACAAAATGAGTAAGTATGCAAAATATGCACATGTTGCACAGTACTAGGAACTCACATTACCTCCCAGGGATCAGTATAATCTGTGCTGCAGCATGTGGGTGGGAATGGTAATGAAGTAGTTTTAATAGTGAATTCAGAATCGGTTTGTACAAGCCTGAAAGCTTAATACATCATGTACCCAGCTGATGAAGGAATACGGGAAAGTGCAGCACAACTGTGTTACTTTGTCAACGGTTTACTACAGAAAATTATTCCGGTTCCCTCCTACGGCCGGAAACTGGGCCAAATACAAGTGCTATCTCTATGGAAATTTTTGAGCCATGCTGCTTTGCAGAACTGTGCCGTCTCCGTCACAAAATTGGTCAACATTTGTCAAGGGAATGGCCTTCACTCAATGGAAATCTATTTCCTGACAATATAATTAATAGTTCTGGCTCTGTTCTGACAGGAGGGAGGAGTCTGATAAAATGCAGCAAACATTTTATTGTTTGTTAAATATGACCTGCCGCTGCTTTTACTACCCATTGTACATTGTGTGGGCTATTTATCAACGTCATTAAACTCGAAAGTGAAGGAACCAAACAAATACCAACATGAATTTAAAATCCATGTGTGTTAGGTGTGACTGACAAGAAGGAAGCAGACTGGTTTCCTAGAGTGGGCTGTAAATGCGTATCTTTTCTAGGCTTGAGTTAGCTTATTTTATACGTTTATGCACCACCAACATGTTTTGCAGAGTTTTATATACAGGGTTATTCACAAAAGGGTGAAGAGTTAGGAGAAGGCAGGAGAAGTGAACAATCTAGGACAACATAGCTGATTTGGACAAATTCTCCAATTAAGCTCACTTTCCAGTTCAGCTATGTTGTCCTAGATTGTTCCCTTCTCCGGCATTCTCCAAACTCTTCACCCTTTTGTGAATAACCCTGATAATATATAACTATATTCAGAACTCTCATTGGTCCTGATGGATCTTAAACTCTTATCTTCCCAACATTAGTGTGAGGTGCAATACTGGTACATACATGCTACAGGCCAATTTGGGAAAATGCTGATTGACATACCAGGATTTGCGGGGACAGTCATGCATCTCTGTCCTCTGTCCCGATGATGCTGTATCCTGGGGCTGTGTCTCGAGGATACATCATCACCCTTATTTCAGTTGCTGATAATGTGCCAAATATGGGGATCACGGACGTGAGTGGTTCTTGCATAAGTAAGAGTGGGACCACCCAGAAAGTTGGCATAATCTGGGTGGGATCGCTTGGAAGGTGGGTGTATCAAGTGTAAGCCATGGATGGGGAATACCTAAACCAAGGAACAAAATATGTAACATTGCAGCCTACCAGTCCTTAGATTTTGGTAGCTGCATTAGTTTACATTTTTCAAGTTCAGAACATTTTCAGCAAGTACAGAAAATATCTGTTGATCCAGGCAGTACATTGCAGTATCCTTGTCATGTCTTATCTTACTTATGTAAACTTCTAACCCCAACCCCATGTCAATGAGATGAAGAGAAGAAGACATGTTTGAAGTCCAGCCTTAGTGGCAACCATGAATTCCTCCAGAGATACAGTGGAGGAGTAAGCATAGCCACCCTAGGAAAAGAAGTTTGGTATTCACAGGATTACCAGGTGGAAATAAAGAAAAAAATAACAACCTATAACATTATTGAATGCAGGCACCTCCTCTAAGGACTGGGCAGTTGTGATACTTTTTGTTCTTGATTTTAGATGTACTTTAAGCAAGATGTACTTGAACATTTTCACGCCAGAACTAGATGCATGTCTCTTTCAAGCCTTTGTACATACATTGCTTTAGGAATGTGGTTCATGGGCTAACACGAACTGGAACCTCTGCTCTATGGGAATAATGGTGACACAAATGACACTAGCTAAGAAGGAATACTCTAAGAAGACAGAGTTTACCTGATGTCATTTTCTGACAACCTCCTTGGCAGACTTTCCTTGCAATCGTCTGTTGGGTCATGCTGTTCCTCAGGTTTCTCATCATGTAGGCTCTCTTCATCTAATGACCCTTTGCTTTGCTTCTTGGTGCAATTTTCACTGACTTCCTGCAACCCCTCTCCCACTTTCTCGCTATTCAGCTCTTGTGTGACTTCCTCCTCCTCCTCCTCATTCTCCTCCGGGAAGACAAGGTGGTTCTCCCCTCCCTGCCCTGCCTCAATCCTATCGGCTCTCTCTTGTATTTCCCTCAGTCTCCTAACAAGCCCCACAGACAAGAAAAGAAGCATGCAAACAGAAAAGAAAAGAAAGGTTGGTTAGCATCAGTAACATGCACAACAAAAACATGCAGAAAAAAAACCCGAAAACTGAAACAGAATATTGAATTGTGGAAACACCTTTTTAGGTCCAATCAGGAAGCCGAGCGGCGGGTAATGAATCCTCACCCGGCTCCCTGATACGCCGGCAAGCCGGCTCTATGCTGTTTGGCCGGCTCCATGCTGATTGGCCTTGAAGCCGGCTACTTACCCCCGATACCAGAACTTCTGGTCAGTGGCAGATTTCCTCTGACTGGCAGTGCCTTAATGGAACATGGAGCCGGCTTCCTGATTGGGTGGGAAGCCAACTTCATGCTAGTGGATTACCGGTATGGGTACTATGTATCGGCGAGTACCGTAAGATAAATATTAGTACTAGTGCTCGATACCGAAAAACTGGTATCGATGCATATTTGGTTACCACCAGGAAGACATTTTTGCACTGTTGGGCAGCAAACTGGTCGATGGTTTGTAAGGCTTCCTTTGACTTCCCCTGGATCTGGTGAGTTTAGGGAACTGTGGATGCAAGCTTTTATTTTTTACATTTTTTTTAATATCAGTGGAACTTGATGGACATGTGTCTTTTTTTAGCCTATGAAACTATAAAACTTCTTTGTATTCCTTTATAGAAATGCGGCATATTCCAATTATATGTGGCAATTCCCACTAAAAGCAGTTGGAGAGTGGTTAGCAAAGGGACCGCCCTATAATAACTCCAATTGTAAGACATGGGACTGGTAATTACCTGTTCTCTAATTGTAAACACGATTGGATATATTTAGTAACAGCTTCTCATTTTAAAACTTCATGAGGCATTTATTCAGAAGATTTGCACTATGCTTGGAAACACAGGTTGGACTGCATTTATTAGCTAGACTCAAACGTGGATAAAAACCTGAACTTTGTTGGGGAATTAGTAAAAAATTGGTGTCAGTATGTTCCTTGTAGTTGACAAGATGACACTTTAACTTTGGAAAAGCACTGATTTACAAAGATCACCACTGCATCCCAAACCATGAAAATATTAAACTTTGATTCTAACTCATCATCATCATATACTGTATTTGTAAAATTTTACAATATTAAAATATATTTTGATGATAGTTGATTGTCAAAGTATGAAAGCTTAAAGTCTTATAAATAAGAGAATTTGAGTGTGTAAAACAAGTGACCTGTGTACTGTAATTGAAGTGAAACATTCATCATACAACATACAGACTATCTAAGACAAACATAGACAACAGGGCCCCCCCCCCTTTCCCCTGGGTAAAGAAACCTGAAGTTTGTTTCCCCATTGATTTCCACATCCCAACTACAGGTGGTAAACTCCATCCCAACCATAAACTCTACCCACCATGATACCTGCCATGTCTGCTAATACAGAGAAAAACGGAAAAGGATTCTGTATCCCTGTGCTGAGCTCTAAAGCTGGTGATACATGTCACAATCTTATTGTAGAATTACCTTTGGATAAAATGTTTGTCACGAAAAAATTGAAAAACAAAAATTCAGTATATTACTCCAAAATATGCATATTTTTCCCATATGTTTACTCATTAAAAATGCTGGAAGTACAAAAAAAACCTGTTGATCTGCTACAAACACCAAATTTAAGGAGAACAGGAGAGCGGGAGGTGTTCTGTAGTCTTAAAGTGACACTAAACTCAGGAGTTAAATCTTAAAAATACTTTCAAGTACCCGATCCATTAACAAAAATGTATCTTATTTGTGTATCACTTGTTTGTAGATCCTCAAATCCTCTCTGAATTGGTGCTGACACTGTCCTTCCTTCTGGAGGGTGGCTACTTCTGCTCCCCATGATCCCTGTGTGTGTTGTAAAGTAGTCACCGCTCCAAGCTCAGTGTAACTACTTTACAACACACACAGGGATCATGGGGAGCAGAAGTAGCCACCCTCCAGAAGGAAGGACAGTGTCAGCACCAATTCAGAGAGGATTTGAGGATCTACAAACAAGTGATACACAAATAAGATACGGTTTTGTTAATAGTTAGGGTACTTGAATGTATTTTTAAGATTTAGCTCCTGAGTTTAGAGGGGTTTAGATACACTTTTGAACAAGAACTGTGTATTGAGAGAGTTTACTTGATTGGATATAAATTGAGCTGATTGTTTAGGAAGGTTGGCACACAACGTCGTAGTTGGTAAAGGAAATTGTATCGAGTTTGTACAATCTGAATGCAATGTGTATGGCCAGGTTTAGTGTTTACAGGAGCAAAAAAAGGCAAGGGGGGCATGAAGCCAAGTGTGAGCATTGCCTCATGATGACCCAGAGGGCTGCGAATGACACAAAAACCTCACCTTGGTCCATGGTAGCGTAAAATAAATACTTATTTGTATTACTTTGTTAAAAATCTATGAGATCTATTTGCTAAGGAAGTGGAGACAACAACCAAACCAGGGACAATTTATTGTAGCCGGATAAGTAAAAACTCAATTCTGATTGGTTGTTGCAGTTTGCTCCTTGGCTCACCGGAGAAGTCCACATCAGGCATTGCACTACGTGCAGCATTAAGTTCATATAACACGGCTCACCTTATTTTTTTGTTTCCTCGCGGCCTCTCAGACTGGACAGACATATAGCTCGTACTGCTGAAGCGGGAGGCACTGCTTGTCCTGGAAACGGCAGAGACATCGCTCACATCGCTGTCTGAGGATTTGTTGGAAACATTGTCTGAGCCCCTCTGTTGATCTCGCCCGGGCCGGTACTGAAAAGACAGAGGACAGGAATCATTCTGCTTCTCTCTGTATCATGGTGCCTCTCAAGCCAAAGACCTGTTTAGCTTTCTGGTGTGTGAAATTGAAAAGGTCCATCCAGATCTTAATTGCACTGGGAAATCTGCCGAGCGGATTCAAACAGCTACAGCAGCACATGTTCAAAGCCTTCGGTGCATTACCGTAAAGGAAGAAACCTAAGTGCAATTCAATTACAAGCATGGACAGATTCACGTTGTCTAGATCTGGGTTGAGCTGCAGGATGTGTAATGCAAAGAGAAGTATGACAACACCATGTTTATATTTACATTTACAGTTGTGCGATTTCTTAAGCTGCCCATACACTGTTCTATTTTTTTTTTGTTCAGCCCGTGGGGCTGAACAAGCATGTTCGGCCATCCCGAACCCAGCCGCAGCAAGCCGATGTATGGCTAACTTCAGTCGGTATACGGCTGAAATCAGCCTTACAAGCCTGAAGTGAATAGCCGAAATGCGTTCGTCTCACTTCACTTCGGGACGGTTATTCACACGGCTGCCCTCGGCAGCTTTGTGAATAACCCCCTAAATGAATATTTATTCGAAGGTAAGGTGCAAATTCAATGCAAATGAGTATCTATATTTGTCTTTCACCTGCATGGCAGGAATCAAGTTGGCTAGAGATCGTCCCCAATGCCCAAACAGCAGCCGCCAAATTTGCTTATACTGAGTGCCGAGGGCACATGTGAGAAGGATTCTCAAGGCGCCAAGGTACATGCAGGCACTTTGTAGTATCTGCTGCAAGGCAACTCTCCCAGCTTAAGATCTCTGCTGACATACTGACAGGTCCGTGAAGAATGATGTGAGAGAGAGAGGGAGAGAGAGAGAGGGAAGAGAAAAAGTTTAGAGAGAGAGAGAACATTTGATAATGCCATCAGACTTGATGAATTCTGGAAATCTGGACATAGACCACCATAACAACCAGAAGTTCTAACCGTTTTCTGCTGTTTGTATCTGTTTTGTGCAATAAAATCATGACCAATGACTCCTCTTTACCTTGGATTGATAATCTTTTTCTAGCCTTGAGTCTGAGCCAGCCACCTGCTTATATTTGTTGATCTTCATCTTTATCTGCCGATTCCTCTCTTCTACATCCATCGAACCTGTGAACCACAGAACAAGAACATGTATACATCAGTCCAGGACAGATTTTTATTTTATTTGACAAAGCAACATTTGTTAAAGATTTTGTAGACATTAATATACAACTAGTTCGCACTGACATCACATCTTTGAGGGTCCATGCACACTGATGCATTGCAGAATCATGCTTTGCCACTACGCACGTAAACGCTGGTGACTGACTGCAGTGCCATTCTTTTTGAATTCACTTTGAATGGCACCCCAAGCACCTAGCCAGAGTAGAGCATTCCTGGTGTATTTTTGCATATCACAATGCACAGTTGTGAACCATATGTGTGTAGTTATAAAATGTTTGCAGAGTGAACAGCTCTGGGAATGTCTAAGTAGATGGAGCCAAGGAGCATAGGTACCAAAAACTTGAAGAACTCAAGGTAAACATTGTATTAACCCTTGCAGTGAGGCTACCTTGTTTGTTTTTGCCTATGGTCAAAAATAACAAAGTTGTGCACAACTGATCCTCTGAGCCAGCCAGCTGTCACGTTGCTCCCTCCTGCACTGAAGTGATGTTATGTCCCTCAGTGTCCTCACACCCTATACCCTGTATATACAATGTGATGACTCAGGGACCTTAGAGTGCTGCAGTGGAGGGGGAGAGAGGCTCCAGGGACTGGTCTATGAGTTGGCCGGCTCAGAGGATCCGGTGAGTGTAACTTTTTATTTTTTATCCTAGGCTAAAAGATCACTTAACCCTTGAAGTGCGGGGGTAGCCCCACTGCAAGAGTTAATAACATTTTTACCCAGATTTCTTTAAGACGTTCGCAGAGCTGTTTGCTCTGAAAACATTTTATAAATATACCCCATAGTGTGAACACAGTCATTAATTTTTATGTCCTAATATGAAAAAAAAAGACAACTGACCATGGTGTCAGCATGCTTGATGACTGCAAAAGTTACTTTAGTCCGTCAAAAGTTTACTTATCACCTGCAAACACTGCAGTCGACCATTTTGCTGGCTTAGAAAATATATATTGTATCTGTTTATTAGAAACAAAGGCAGATCAGAGGCTATGCCTGAAGTAGGCTCCTCATAGTGGTTTACACTTCAAGACTTTAGGGACCTATTCACACTTGTCTGTTTTCCTGCAGTCCAACACATGACTTTTACGGCATGAAAATTAATTTCAAGTAGAAATCAAATTCTTTCCTACGAGGCTGGTTCACGTCAATGCGTTGCAGTTTAGAGTGATTTTAAAGGAAATTGTAAGGGCCTGAACCCTACACATGTGAGCTACCATGCACACACATGAACAAGCCTTACGCTGTAACAGTCAAATTATATAATCACCTTAGGCCACAATCTGGCTGCCTCCATTGTCTGAAGTTGACAAGCACTTTAAAATATTTCTGTGGCCACAAAGGAAAAAAAAATATTTTTTGCGGGTCTTGACATTTTAGATGGTTTCTTTTTTTTTTACCATGCAAAGAAGCTACCATTCACTGACTCCACTGACATATACTAGCTCCAGAGCAGAGATGTCACTGGCCTTGTCTTAATTTTTGGATAAGGAGTTTCAGGCTGGCAGCTTCCATGTTGGTTTTCCCACACTAGTTTGTGGCAGGTTGACTTTATATAGAACTCTATATAGGAACAGTAAATTAACATTTTTACATCTCTAGCAAGAACTGTAGGGGGTTACATTTCTCAGAATTTAAAATGTTCTTCTCTTCCCCATTATGCAACAGTTCAACTAAATTTCAGCAATGTTTTAGGACCTGATGAAGTAAACCGCGCCCTAATAATAACATATATGCCTTGCAAAAGCAATGGAGACTAGAAATACTGACACATGCTATGTTGGAATGAAAATCAGTGTTGTAGCATCCCCTGCCAGCCATGTCTTAGTACCACAGAAAATATATTGTATAGCCTGACTATTTTAACAATAAAAGGAGAAGTGTGTGGCTA